TGTGCGCCTGGGCCCGCGACAACGTCCGCGGTGGCCACGGGGCCCTAGCCGACGTCCGGCTACGAGATCAGGGCCCGTGCTGTTAAGGAGGGAGCCGGAGAGGAGCTCGCTGAGCTCCCCCTGGGAAACCTTCACCAGCGGGCAGCGGCCCCAGGCTGGTGAACGCGGACTGGACGTGCTCGAGAGACGCCCGCTGACCTTCGGCAACTCCGAAGTTTGACGGCAGGGCCCCAGGGGCACGCGCAGCATTTATGACAACGATGGCATCGTTGGCCCAGCCCCGCCAATGCCCGGCCAGCCCGCAGCGCTGTCGGGCCCGACGGCTGCGCCCGCGGGGCAGGCCCCCGCGCGCGTCGCCGAGGTGGGGCAGCGGGAAGAAGTTCCGCTGGCGCTCCCTGCGCGGGCCGCGCCAGAAGAGAGACCAGGCCGGGCTGCGAAGGGCGCAGCGGCGGGTGGGTTGGCTGGCGGGGGCGGCCGCCCAGTTCCGCCGTCGGCTCCTAGGTCGCTCGCTATCCCTGCCTGAGCCGGCGGCCCTTGGCCGCCCGTCAATGGGCCGCGGCCTCCCGCCTCTGAATCCCAGCCGAGGTCGGGGACCCCCTTGGCTGCGGGCGGCATCATGGGCCCAGCGGGGCGGCTGGCCCCGCCCCGTCGCTCTCGGGCTCGCCGCTCCCGTCGGGGCTTGCAGGGTCACCTGGCGCTGAGGCCGTGCTGCCGCGGCTCGTGCGCTCAGAACCGCCGCAATCACCCACTCGAAGGAGACCCCTGGCGTGGCGAAGGGCCCGAGCAACGCGAGGACCTGTGGGTCGCGGGGTTCCCGGCCTGGCGCCGGGCACCTGGCTGCCATGTCTGCGAGGCAAGGCATGGCGCCGCGCGCCAATGCAAGCCTCGCCGCGGTCAGCAGCCAGACTGCGAAGTCTGCGTCGGTGGGCGACAGGCGGCGCAGCTGCGCGGCGCGGCCCGGTGCCGGGCGGGTCGGCCTCCGCGTCCGCATCCGCAGCCGCAGCGGCCGAACTACTGCGCGGTTCCGTGGCCGCCTCGCGCGCGACGGCCCGCGTCAACGGCAGCCGCCCGTTGATCGGGCGGGGCGCAGGGACGGGGCCCAGGGGCGCCCAGCGCTGGCCCCGACGCCCCCGCGGCGGCCTCTGCCTGGAGCGGCGGCGGCGGCGCCTTTGCCACCGCGAGCCCGGGCGCCAACATCCAGGACCCTGCGCTGCCGTCGGGGGCCCGCCAGCGGAAGCTGGCGGTGCCTGTGGCTAGCGCTGGCGGAGGCGGCAGGCGGCCGTGGCGCAGGGGCGCGGGCGTCGGGGGCATCGCGCTGCGCCCGCGCCGCCGCCGCCGCTCTGGGCAGCGGCAGCCGCGTTGCCGCGGGCTGCGGGCCCCGCCGCACCGGCGGCCCCGGCAGTGCCTGAGCCGTCGGCGCCGTCGTCGAGTTTGCCGGGCGCGAAGAAATCCAACGGGGCGCCCTCGCCGAGCAGCCATACCTGGCCGCCCATCGTCACCGCCGCAGCCTGGTCGTCCAGGGGGGTGTCGACGTCGGCCAGCATGGAAAGCAGCTCGCTGTCGTTCACGTCCTCCCCTCTGGCTTCTCGTCGACTGGCTGCGCGTCGCTGAGCTCTGACCCCGAGCTCTCTTCGCCGCCTCCTCGCACGTGCTCCGTGGCGATCACGCAGGCGCCCGAGGGGATGTGGCAGTCCCCGATCGCCTCCCCATCGAGAATTACCTCCCTCGGAGCGAATCCAGAGCACCACCTCGCTGGGCTCGAACTGCGTTCTCGGCACCATCGCTCGCAGATGCTCCACGAGCGCGATGAGTCGCATCTCTTAGGTCCGCCGCTGGTCGGGGTACGCCGCGAGGTCCTTCACCTGGTGGTTAGTCCCACTCCGGCGTCGCCGATCGGCCACTGCCGGCGACCGCGGGGCGGCTCGCGGAGACAGCATCCACGCGGGGCGGCTACGATGGCTCCGCGAACGACCCTGTGCCGCCCGAGGGCGCAGCCACCGAAGGGGTGAACATCGTCGCACCACTTGCTCACCGCCGGCGGATCTGGTGGAACAGCCCGTCCGACACACCGAGGCCCCCGCCGCCGCACGGCGGGGGGCGACGAGCCCGCACGCTCCGACGCCATGCCGCTGGCGGAGGAGCGCAACGGAGGCCCTGGCGCGGAGGCCCTGGTGCGGACGGCGCGGGGCTCTCAGGCAGCTTTGGAGGCTCTCGGGGCTCCATACCACGGTGCAGCCGCCTGCTCACTCCCTCCTCGCTTCACGATGCAAAACTTTCCATATCTGCCACCGTGCCCCCGAGGAACGAGTTGAAGTGCCATAAAGTCCTTGGCCTACGTAGTCGTCCTGAGGATTCTTAAAAGGGGGCCAGACCCGAAAATCACAATTCCTTCGGGCCGCGTCGCGTGGCCCCTGGCCCTTGGGCTCCCAGCGTCCACCTGGGGTCCGGGGCGCCGTCCCGCATGATTTGCTCGGTCCCAAAAGGGCCGCCAGACGGGCCCACGGGATCCAAAAGGCACTAAGAACGGTCCAATGGGGGCCCGAATCGCTTCACGATCGGTCCAAGACGCCGCCAAGACGATCTCAAGACGGCCCAAGATGCCCACAAGACGCCTCAAGAGGCCCCCAAGCCCAAGAGGCCCCCGAGAGGCTTCCCAAGAGGGCCCCAAGAGGCAAACATCATTGATTTGACCACGAGTCTTGCAGGATTCTGCAGTTGTCGCATGTTCGACTTCCCGACGCTCCAAGACGGCCCAAGAGGCCTCCTAGGGGGCCCTAAGACCGCCCCAGAGGGCCCAAAGTAGCCCAAGAGCCTCCAAGGGCCCAAGAGGCCCCAAGAAGCCCGAACGGAGATTTCGAGTCCTCGGCCCCGAGGGGCCCCGAAGGCCCCAAGATGCCCCAAAGAGGCCCCCAGAGGCCGAGAGGCCCCAAAACTGCCCCCAATATATAGGCCCCCGAGAGGGCTCCGAATAGACACCAAAAACACCATCCCTGAGGACTCTGACCCACAATCCAGGCACGGTGGCGGGATGGGCCGAAGGCCATTCAATCAACCGCTCCCTGTGCTCCTGCCACAGGGGTGCCTGGCGTGCTAGACGTCTGGTGATTTTGAACTCCCCCTGAGGCTTTGGCCGATACCGCCGCCGCTGGCCATCCAGAAAGCCGCCAAGAAGCCGCCGAAAATTCATCTCTCGTGGGTCGAATCGCCTCCAAGACGGCCCAGATGGCTCAAGATGGCCTCCAAGACGCCTACATGACGGCCAAGATAGCCCCAAGAGGGCCCAAGATGGCCCAAGCATATTCCAAGACAGCCCCAGATGCACCCAAGGCGTCTCAAGATGGCCCCAAGATGGCCCAAGGCGACCCGAGAGGCCCACAAGAGGCCTCCAAGACGACCCCAGAGGTCTCCAAAAGGGCTTTCAGGAAGGCACGAGGAGGCCCAAATCACAGGTTTTCAATCCGGTTTGAAGGATTTCCGCATTTGATTCAAAACTGCCTTCCGACGGCCCAAGATGGAACAAGAGGCCTCCAATGTTGCCCCAAGGTCGCCCAGGAGGTCTCCACGATGGCCCCAGGACGGCCCAAGAGGCCCTCAAGACGGCCCCCAAAGAGCCCCAGACGGCCCAAGAGACCTCCAAGATGCTCCAGATGGCCGTCAAGGCGGCCCTGAAATGCCCCAAGAAGGCCCAAAGACTGCCCAGAGAGGCTCCCAAGACGGCTTCCGACGGCGTCAGACGGGCCAGGAACGCCGCAAGACGGCCACAGAGGCCCCCAAGAAGCCCCCAAAGGCCCCCAAGAAGCATGATTGCTCCCTCTCCTCGTCTTCCTCTTCCTCCTCTTCCTCCCCCACGTGCTCCCCGAAGGGCTTCCACAACGGCTGGGGGAACGCATGGTCCAATAGCGTGGCCAAACTTGGCCTAGACGTGCGGCCACATAGGCGTATCCTAAAAGGGAGGGGCGGCGGTGATTCGCCGTAGGCGTCTTCGATATATACGCACTATGCAACTGTCTTTATACATAGGGAGTAAAACTGGGAGAGGTAGGGAGAGCGAGAGAGAGAGAGCGATAGTGTGAGAGAGAGAGGGAGAGACAGCGAGACAGAGAGAGAGGAGAAACAACATTATATATACATAGAGAGAGAGGGAGCGAAATATAATAATACAGAGAGAGAGAGAGGGAGAGATGAGCACAAGTCCCCGGCAAGGTCGGGTCAGAGATGCCGGAGTTCTGTTTCGGAGTCCAAGAGGGCTCCAGATCGGTCCAAGAGGGCCCCGAGAAGCTTTCTAGACGGTCCAAGAGAGGCCCGAGACGGCCAAAGATCGCCCGAAGACGCCCCAGATGGCCCCAAGACAGCCCAAGAGGCCTCCAAGACGCTCCAAGGGCCTTCCAAGAGGCCTCCGAAGAGGGCCCAAGAGGCCTTCAAGACTGCTCCAAGACGGCCCACGAGGCTCCCAAGACGGCCCCGGAGCGGCCCAAGAGCGCCCCCCAGACGGCCCAAGTGCTGCCCAAGGCGGACCAAGAGGCCTCAAGACGGGCCCAAGAGGGGCTCAAGAAGGGAACCGAGAACTGAAAAATCGAGCCCTCCGCCCCAGAAGGCGCCCAGGACCCCGAAAGAGGCCCCAAGAGACTCTCCAAGACACCCCCAAGACGCCCCAATAAGCTCCCGTGAGGCCCCAAGAGGACCAACAACGTCAGGCCCCAGGCCCCAAGAGGACCAACAAATACCGCCAAGAGCCCGCCGAAAGCCCCCCCAGAGACCGTCACGAGAGCTCAGGAGGCCCCCTGGAGGCCTCCCGAGTTCTCCAAGAGGCCTAAAAAGAGGCGCCAAGAGGCCCCAAACGGCCCCACCGAGGCCAAGAGGCCACGAACGCGCAAGCAAACGCCTGCGATGGCACAATACGGGCCGGCGGAATGAGCGAAGCGATTAAATACACAGAGAGAGAGAGAGAGATGAGCACAAACACGCACATGTGGAGGGCACGACAAGGGCTGGACAATCGCCTTGAACAAACGCCTGTCGGAGACAACGTATGGGGGCTCCGCCTCTGTCGCCAGATACTCGCGGAGCTCCTGTCGCAATACTCTTTGCATGCGCACATGCCCTCATCGGCTGCCTCATGGTCTACTGGCCCCACATTCGGCGTGTTGGCCGCGGATGTTCTCCAGCCGCACGTCCTCCACTCTTGTGCTGCGTTTTGTCCCTGGCATGTTCCCCGATTCGCCAAGTCCATTCGGCGCGTGAACCTCACACCTCGCGTGACATAACAGCATCATCAGAACCCATTGATGCAATCGTGCCAAAAGGGCCCAGGAGGTGAAGACTGTGAGTAACACGGGGAGGGAGTGAGAGAGAGGGGGGGTGAGAGAGAGAGAGGGGAGGAGAGCAAGAGAGAGAGAGAGAGAGAGAGCGAGAGGGTGCGACCAGCACTTCTGAATACATGGTAGCTGGCACCATGATGAAAGACAGAAGGCCAACGGGCAAATCTGGGAGCGTCGCGCGAGCCGAAATTCAAGGGGCAAGCACGTGCAGAGTGCTGTGGCCTGCAAAAGAAAGCGGAAAGTGCCAGGTGCGAGTATGCCCCATGCGCGAGTCCCACTTCTCGTCCCCACCCCGCGGGTTTCCATCGCACGTCCAAGACCTTCGATTCTTCGCCCCAGTTCACTGCCAACAACTGCCTATACCTCCACCGCTGGCTCGTTTTCCTCGATGTCGCCCAGCACTCCTCACGCTAGCACTCTGGACGTTTCTCCGACACTATCACCCGTACCTCCCCACCACTTCGACGGTCACGCTGTGTTTTCAAGCATCTGTCATCGAGCAGATCTGCACAACCACCTCGCCCCCAAACCTCCGACTGACCTTGCTCATCGAACCACGTCGTCATCCTCAACCTGGGACGTCCCTGACCCCTCCCATCCGCCCTGATGCGCTCTGCTTTTCACCCGCCAACCCAACAAAACTGCCTCGCCTCCCGATCACTCCCGTGTGCGTGGCCGCGCTCTCTTTCGATCAAATTTCCCCACCAAGGGGCTCTTCTCCCAAAACCACCTCGCTCCCCTCAACCCCAGACCACTCCCATCCGCACGGCTGTGCCCTATTGCCCCCCCATCCGCTCTGCTTATCAACCACCCCATTCCATGAACATGTTCACAAACCCACTGCCCCTTCGCTTCTTTCCCCGGGACATTCCCGACCGCTCCGGACCCCGCGGCCTCACTCTGAGAGATCGCTCCACCACACCACGGACTATGCTCCTAAAGCCGTCGCGCCTCCCTCATCCCTTGCCACTCCCGACCCTCCCCGTCCACTAAACTGCGCTCGAGTTTCAAGCTCCGCATCTGACGCATTTCCTCTCCAAAGCACTTCGCCATTTGCACTCCCCACGACCTGCTTCGACCTTCCCCGACGCCCAACCCGCCGCTCGCGACTTCCCCTCCCCGCCCTCCGTTCGGCATCGGTATCGGTACCTTTTCCTCCTCTGACATACCACCTCTCGCCCCCCTTCATCCTCGAACCTTGCCCTCCGCACGGCAACGCTTTGCTTCGCGATCCTCACACCGCAGATTCTGGTCACCAGGCCGCCTCGCCCACTCTACTCTCGACACCCTCGGACACTCCCGTCCGCGTGGCTGCTGTGTTTTCACAGCCACCCCCCTGCATACAATGGCATTCACAACAAATTCTGCACCCGAAGCCCCCTACACCCCAGACCCCTCCCAGCCGCGTGGTCACGCTCTGTTTTGGAGCTCCCCTCCACACTCGAGGTGACTTCCGCCGCTCAAATCTCCGACCTCATGGTGTGCGCTACCTACTACGTGGCTTTATCGGCGTCGGGGTAAAACAACTACCTACGCGGACTGCCCAGCACCACACCGTGTGACTGCTGCGCGCCAAGGTTTTACAGCATTCCCAACCGTACTGTGGTTTGGGGCCCTCGTTTTCAAAAGAGATCCCCGCGCCTCCTCCCCTTCTGTCCTCCTCCTCCTCCTCCTCCTCCTCCTCCTCCGCCCAGGTGCCAGCGAGCACACGCGGCCGCCGCACCCATTTTGGCACACCCCTCAATACGCTTTGTGGCCCCATGGGGAGCTCCACCGACGGCCCGGATGCCAGCGCTCGCTGGTGGCCACCGCACCCATTTTGGCACACCCCTCACACGCTTCGTGGCCCCATCGGGAGATCCACTGAATGCGGTCCATACAACGACGGTGCCCACGACTGCAGATGGCTGGGTGTTTCGCCAGGCTCACTGCCTCCGTCCTCCCGGCGTCTCGGCGGTGATGGTCGGGCTACAGCGCAGTGTCGCCAGACGTCTGTCGCGTGCAGTGGTCTGCACACGTCGGGACCACCGAGTGTGCTGAAAGTCCGACGAGATATGCCTTCTCCGCAGCCTAGTCGCTCAACGTCTGCGACATAATGCCAAGCCCAGCCTCTGCACTCCAACACCGTGTTGTTCAGAAAATCTTCTGGGGTCGGCCGCAGGGGCGGCAGACTACAGCTTTCCCCCGCCCTTGTCCTCCACTCCCTCCTATTCCCAACCCTGCCTACAATGTGGTTCTGCCATACGCCACGGCGAGCACCCCTCCCTTTCAACAGCGCCGCCTCAACTGGCTGGTTCAACAACGCCGCCTCAACTGTGACGGCCGAAGTTGCAGAAGAGGTTCTCGATGCAAAGACGGCAGCCTGTTGACACCGCACTTTCGCTGCTGACCGCCACCCCCACTCAGGCCGTAACTGGCGCATGGTCGCTAACGCTTGCAAGCGCGCGTTTCACCAGGATGCGCGCTTCAATCTAGATCGGGGCGCGACGCAGGAGGTGGGCCACTCGCAGCGGCGCTCCGAGACCATCTGCAGCAAGTGATCTGGGAAGTCCACCTGGCAGGCGCGCGTGCCCAGGCGGAAAAGAGCAGAGAGAGAGAGAGAGAGAGAAAAAAAAAAAAAGCGAGAGAACTCCGAGAAGAAGGGGAGTAAGCGCAGGAGCTGCGGGAGTGGGAGAGGGAGCTGGAGCAAGGGCTGGTAGAAACAGGTGTGGCACGGGCACAGCTTCGTGGCGAGCCTGGGGGGGCGTGAGAGGGGACAGGCCTTCTCAGAAGGCGGCGGGCCTTCTCAGAAGCCTCGCTCCTGCTGACAAGTTTACTCTACCTTCGGGGGCAAAGCTCAGAAAACTTCTCAGAAGGCCCGAGGCCTTCCGAACCTTCTGAGAGGGCCCGCCTCCTCTGCATTCCCCCCCCCCCGGTTCGCCGCCGAACAACAGTCCGCGCGTTGAAGCGCGCCCAGCTGGCGATAGGGCCAGCGATCGGAAGACATGCACCGCGCACAAGCGGAAGCACAGCCTTCAGGAAAAACCTGCGCGACACGTGGGCGAGAAGGGCATTTCGCTGTCCCAGGCGCGCCCCAGATCCGAAGAACAGAAAAACGCGCCGCGCCCTTGTGGGCGATCACTTGTCGTCACGAAAGGAACGCTGCGCTGCGGCGAGAGACACATTTCGCGATTTAGCGTGTGATGTGCGCCGCGTTCCATCCCTGCCAAGCTCTCCTGCCGCACATCTTGCAACGTCGAAGCGGAATCGCCAATGCTAAAAGAGAGCGCGTTGACTGTGTCGTCTTTGATGGCTGGGATGGGAGGCCGTTGAGTGTCACGATAAGGCCGCTACGTAAGCAGGGGAAGTAACACATTCCGCAGACATGATTGCACTGGGGGGGGAGGGTCTCGCTCGTCTTCTATGTGGTTGGCTGGCGGTCCCAAGGTTTTCGCCCGATGGCCGTCCGCGGCCGCCTCGTCGCCGCCTCGTGCGCTGGCTGCCCGTTTCTGGTTTTCGCTCGGTGGCCGCCCGTGGCCGCCCCCACTGCCGCCTCGCTGCACAACCGCACAGCTTGCGTAACAGGCACCGCATCTGCTGCGCCACACCGCTGCCATCACATAGCTGGCGCCCCACTTCCTTCACCACACAGCTTGCGCAACATCTATGCACTATAGCCAGATGTTTGAGCCAAGGTGGTCCCTGAGAGTGTTCGCACGTTTTTCTGCTTCTGATCCGCCTGCGCTTTCGGCGTCGTCGTCTAGCTGTTCGTGATCGCCGTCGTCGTCCTCCCCCCCGCATCCACTGAATTATCCTTCTCGCACTCGCTCTTCCGCTTCCAATGCACTTCCTCCTCATCCCCCTTTTCTGTTCCTGCCGCTCCTCCTCCTCCTCCTCCTCGTGTTTTTCCTCCTCCTGTTCCCGCCTCTTCCTCCTCCTCTTCATAATAATCATCATCATCATCAGCATCATCATCATCATCATCATCATCATCATCCTCATCATCATCCTCATCATCATCCACACCATCAGCATCATCATCAACATCATCATCTTCACCAACATCATCATCAAGAAACATCATCACCATCAGCATCAGCACCATAATCATCAAAGACACCATCATCATCATCATCATCATCATCATCATCATCATCATCATCATCATCATCATCATCATCATCATCATCGTCGTCATCATCATCGTCATCATCATCATCAAAATCATCACCATCATCATCAACATCATCCGCATCATCACCACGGTCATCATCAACATCACCATCCGCATCATCATCACCATCATGGTTATCATCATCACCACTTTGATCCCCATGGTCATCCCCCTCCTTTTCCTCCTCCTCCTCCTCGTGCTCTTCCTCCTCCTGTTCCCGCCTCCTCCTCCTCCTCCTCATCAGCGTCATAATCATCTTCATCCTCATCCTCATCATCATCAACACCATCAGCATCATCATCAACATCAGCATCTTCACCACCATCAGCATCATCAAGAAACATCATCACCATCAGCATCAGCACCATAATCATCGAAGACACCACCACCACCACCATCATCATCATAATCATCACCATCATCATCAACATCATCCGCATCATCACCACCACCATCATCAACATCACCATCCGCATCGTCATCATCATCATGGTTATCAGCATCACCACTTTGACCCCCATGGTCATCCCCCTCCTTTTCCTCCTCCTCCTCCTCCTCCCCGTTCCTACTCCATTTCCTGTTCTTGTTCCTCCTCCTCATCCTCCATCCCGTCCTCCCCCTTCTGCTCCTCATCCTCGCCCTCCTTTTCCTCGTCCTCCTCCTCCTCCTCCTCCTCCGTTTCCTCCTTCCCCTCCTCCTCCTCTTTCCACCTCCTCCTCCTCCTCCTCCTCCTCCTCCTCCTCCTCCTCTTCCTCCTCCTGCAATTGGTTTTCACAAACGAATTGGCACATTCCACGTTCTTGCAAACATCCCACCAACCCACCCGCAACTTGGTTTGCAAAACCCATGCGGCGGCGATTGCGATGAGTGCTTGGCGTTGGCTAGTGCATCTCTGCGGCCTCGCCAACCCAAGCACGCGCGCGCACCGGCCAGCTAGTTTGACGCGACCGACGCGGCCGCGGTGGCGCTGACCGCCGGGCACATCCCAGCGGGCACTTCAGTGCGAGTCGGCTACTTGGGCGGGCGCGGTATCAACGTCGACAACGGTAGACGCGATGATGATAGTGGCGATGTTGGTGACGATGTTGACAACGACGACGGCGCGGCCAGTGAAAGCGCGAATGCTGATCGCACCGACGACGATGACGGCGTCCTCGCGTCGGTGATGAAGGTATTGGAAGGAATTTGACATGCGCGCGCGGCGGACGCGCGAAAGTGGCCCGCATTGTATTATTTGCACGGACCGTGCCCCCCAGCACCAGCGCAAGGGCGGGCGAATGATTTCGATATGCGGCGCGAGAGGCCTGTTTGGCAGAATTCCATGAAAATATTGAAAAACCGATGGGTTCTTCAAGAATTCGTAAGAGCGCGAGCGCAAGCTATTTTGAAAACTGATGTTGCGCAACCATGTGCTTCACGATTTCAAAACTAAGTTTTGAAATCGTTACGAAACCAACGGTTTTTGACAAATTTCGGCCTGCGCGCGCGACGACGCTCGCGTGTGCATGTCGTTTCATTTGTTGCAAAGGATTCTCGCCACAGCACGCGTGCAAGGGTGTTCGAACGATTTTGACATGCGCGCGCGAAGCTCTTTTGGTAGCAGTTGATGAACATGTTGATAAACGCATGGTTGTCTCAAGAATTCGCACGAGTGCGCGCAAGTTTTTTGGAACGTCCGTGCTGCGAAACCATGTTGCTTTGCATTTGTCTTGGACCCTCGATCTTAAAATCCTTACGAACCCGAATGTTTTTGAAAGTTCTCGGCATGCGCACGCGACGACGCGCGCGTGTGCACATCGTCCCATTTTTTGCAAGGGATTCTTTAAAACGGATGATTTGTGATAAACGAATGCGCGCACATGGTTTCTGTTGCAGAGGATGGCGGGGGAGGTCGATACCGGCTCGGCTGGGATGGTATGAATTCATATTTCGGATGGACGATGGGGCAGCATCATATGTAAATTGCAATGCGAAAGCGGAACGGATAGTCCCAGGGGGGGGATCAATCGTTAAGAAAGGAGAGACTACGCGGCGACAACGTGGCGACGGGACGGCGACGGCGACGACATAGCCGCCAGACCGCCAGACACGCCCGGACGACGGGAGGCGATGAGGCGGCCACGGGCGGCGGGGACGGCGACGACATAGCCGCCGGACCGCCAGAAGGCCCACTCCGTTAGAACACGAGTGAGAGCCCCTTAGGAGCAAGCACTGTTTGGGCAATGCATATTTACATGAACTCCAACCACGCGCGCGCTTCGGCGCGCTAAGGTTCTAGCGCAGACACGGGCATTGTCTAAACACCGCAAAGTGGAGGCGAACTTGGAGAGCTGAGTGGCAGGACGCAGGAGGTACGTCCACACACGCTGCTGCAGAGAACCAGGAAAAATGAGGCCCCGAGGAACATTAGCTGCGGCATCAGCAACACCAGAAGCAGCGGGGGAGAGACTCTGGAGCAGGAGGAGGCCGAGGTGGGAACCGCGTAGTCAGCCAGATGAGGGGAGGTCGGGATGGGCTCCGAGGATAGTTGGACAGGAAAGTGCAAACAGGAAGGAGGGGAATCCAGGCGGACCTTCAAAAGGAGGCCCGGGGAGGAGAGCACAGGATATACTTGGAGGATTGTTGGCCACTGAGGATCCAGGGAGCTTCTTGAGGGCGTATTGGAAGCTTCGGAGAGACTTCTTCGGGCGTCTGAGGCTTTCAGCTACATTTTGGGTGCGAAGGCCTTCTGGGTGGTCCTCTTGGGGCCCTGTCAGGGCCTCTTGAGGGCATTGTGGGCGCGTCGGGAGCCATCTTGGGGGGAGGGACCCCGGAAACCACATAGAAATCACCATGTTGGAGCCCCTGGAGGCCTTTCGGGGGACTCAGTCCTGTCCTCCACTCCCTGCTCATCGTTCTTGGCATCATCCCCATCATCATCATCATCATCATCATCATCATCATCATCATCATCATCATCATCATCACCACCACCACCATCATCATCATCATCATCATCATCATCATCATCATCATCATCATCTGCATCATCATCGTCATCACCATCATCATCATCATCATCATCATCATCGTCATCATCATCATCGTCATCATCATCATCACCAGCATCATCATCATCATCGTCATCATCATCATCACCATCATCATCATCACCATCATCATCATCGTCAGCAGCATCGTCAGCAGCAGCAGCAGTAACAGCAGCAGCAGCAGAGCAGCAGCAAAAGCAGCATGAGCATCATCGTCATCATAATCATCCGCATTGTCATCATCATCATCACCACCATCATCATCATCAGCATCATCAACATCATCATCATTATCATCATCATCATCATCATCATCAGCATCATCGCCATCACCATCACCATCACAATCACCATCACCATCACCACCTCCACCGTTATCATCACCAACATCATCATCACCATCATCATCATCATCATCATCATCATCATCATCATCATCATCATCGCCAGCATCAGCATGCGAGACATTGTGCTCATAAACATCGTCGTCGTCGGCATCGACGTCGTCGTCATCGTGATCGTCATCATCATCAGTCACATCCTCATCATCATCACCATCGTCATCAGCACAATCGTCGTTCTCAGCATCATCCCCACCATCATCATCATCAACGTCGCCGTCATCATCGTCATCATCGCCATCAGCATCATCACAGTATTCATATTCATATTAGTGATTGTCATCACCACCACGATCATCACCATCATCATCAACATCATCATCAAGATGAGCATCACCATCATCATCACCATCACCACCACCACCATCATTATCACCATTATCATCGTCGTCATCATCATTACCCTTTTTAAAACCACCATCACAATCACCCTGGCATGGCCAAGCAGGCTGCGAATGTCAAAATACCCTGGGGCCTCCAAGTGAGCCCGAACTGGGCAAGGAGATTGGTTTCGTAATCGGTAACGGCCGTCCTCCACGACATCTTTTGCATTAGTTAGTGCCTTCCTCCCCCTCCTCCTTCTCCTGCCCAGAGGGTGTGGGGGAGGGCAAGGAATGGAAGGGGGAGGACAAAAAGGAGGAGGAGGAGGAGGAGGAGGGGGAGGAGGAGGAGGAGGAGGAGGAGGAGGAGGAGGAGGAGGAGGAGGAGGAGGGGTGCGAGGGGGGGGCAGGGAGAGGGAGGGGCTCGAGTCATGCGCCCGCACCTGCCCGCCCAGTGGCCCCCCTCCCCTCCGCCCCCTCAGGATAAAGCAAGTGATGAGGGGCTGGGCATGGTGGGATCCGATTGCTGCAGTGAGACTTGCTGGCGTTGCCTGCTTTCCGAGGGAGAGAGAGAGAGAGAGAGAGAGAGAAAGAAAAGGTCCAGGCCTCTCGTCAACAACTCACGGCGAAAGCATTGGCTATGTACGGAACCATTGGACAAGCAATCCAGGGTCTGGAAGCTGGTGGGACTCGAATCGTGGGTTGGCCATGGACATCACCGCAGCCATAATCAGACAAGGAATCCTCCAGGGTCTGAACTTCAGCCACCGTGTTGAAAACTGCCAAATCTGCTCAAAATCGGTCCCCGGACACCTACCTGGGTCCAGCTGGTGCGGTTTCTCATCCCAGGTCCATCTTTGAAAGCCCCAGGGCCCGAGAGCGGCCTCTGGAGGCCGAAAAAGGCAAAAAACGAGCCCGAACCCAGAACCCAGAACCTTGAACCGATGCTGCGCCACCTCGGACCCCTGGCCGGCTCCGACTTCCGGATTTCCGCCCCGCCTCCTCCTCCCCCGGCGCACCTCGTGCGCACGGGCCCGCAGCTCTTCGGACGCCTGGGCCGACAGCAGCTTCGGCGAGCCGTGCGCGCCATCGGCCGGCGCGGACGCCTTTGGACGCGGCATGGCGGAAGGTCGGCGCAGCAGGAGGCAGGGAGACAGGGACTGTAGTGCGGACGCGGCAGCGAGAGACCCTCGCAAGAAACCCCGCCCCGAAAACCCACCAGCGCAAGATGCAAGCGGGGGGGAACAAACGCACCCTGAAATCAGCAGTTCCTTCAACGACAGCGAGAGGTCACCGCGCACCGTGCGGAGCGAAGAAACCTGGGTTATTTCATAACGGCAAGGACTCGGTATCTTGATGCGCGACCCCGCTGTACGCACATACACCGATCCTGGCCACGCCAATCCTGGGCCCAGGATCGGCGTTTTCTCCTCCCTGGCCGAGCCAGGGGAGCGTATGCATCGATCCTGGGCCCAGAATGGGCCTGGCGAGGATCTGTGCTGGTGTATAGTTCTGCTCCTTCCAGGGGAGAGGAGACTGCGGTCGCGCTCGACGGGCGTGCGCGCACAGCGCAAACTTTTGCAACAACGGGCCCCCGCACAGACGCCGGGAGTCCCAAAGCCGTTTGGCGACAGACCGTGCGATGACCTCGAAATCACTAGGACCTCGCCGCACGGCCAGTTGCCGCAGGCCTGGGGAGTCTTGGAAGCCACAGGCGCCCGAGACGTCTCCAAACGGTCCAAAACGGTCAAAGTCCTCGTGGTGGAGCGCCAGTGCCGCGGGGGCGCGGCATGCCGAGGATCGACGACGACGAGGATCGAGGAGGAAAGAGAGGGAGGAGGAGAAGGAGGAGGAGGAGGAGGGGGAGGAGGAGGGGGAGGAGGAGGGGGAGGAGGAGGAGGAGGGGGAGGGGGAGGACCAATGCAAACCCGAGACTCATCAACGATATTGGAAGACACCCTCCCTCCAAGATCCCTCTGGATAGGCCCCTACAGAGCGCCATTTCCACTGAGGGCATTGCCCCGTTGGGGGAGAACCGTGCGAACATCTTAAAGCGTGCCAAAACACCATTACCAAGACTTCAACGCCACGAGTAAACCTGACTGTCACGTCTTGGCGATCCTGAGTCGCGCCAGAACGCCATTCCTGGGACTTCAACACCGCGAATCAACATAAATCATGCGCCCTGATAATCCTGAACCGCTCCAGAACACCATCTCTGGTACGTTAACCATGAGCATCCGTGAAACGCTTACAAGTGTTTGAAACGAATGTGCGCGGCGCTGAGGCGAGAAGCAAATTTTGAATTATGATAACGGAGTTCCCCACATAAGGATGTTACGGGGTTGTCGTTTTCACAACGGGGGCCTCGCCTGGGCGTCGCGCACATTCGTCTGACAAATCTTCAACAGCTACCCGGATGGAGGGCGATCGTTTTTAAATTAGGGCTCTCGCTTTGGCGCCGCGCACATTCGTCTTCAAAGTTTGCAACAGGTGCACGGGTGGAGGGCGGGCCGGTTTCCAAAATGGGGCTCTCGTCTTGGCGCTGCGCACATTCGCGGTACAAGTTGTCAAAAGTTGCAAGGATTGACGGCGGCTCGTTTTCAAAATAAGGCTCTCGCCTTGGCGCCGCGGACATTCGTTGTAAACATTTTGCAATTATTACACGGATGGAGGGCGGCTGGTTTTCAAAATGGGGTTTTCGCCTTCAGCCTTCCTCATACATGTCAGGCCCATGAGGCGCCTGTCAGGCCAATGGGGCGCCCGTCTTACAAGGGTGCGGGTCCAGGTGTGAAAGGGAATACTTGTATGAACTTCGGAGGAAGGGACCTGGAACGGGAGGGTGTATAGCAGCATCGTTGATGCATCCTGGGTTCGCTCTGATCCTCGTCCTCTTTGTTCTCTTCCCCTCGTCCTCCGCCTCTTCCTCGTATTCCTTGTTTTCCTCCTCTTTGTCCTCTTTGTTGTCCTCCCCCTCCTCCTCCTGTTCCTCTTCCCTTTTCCTCCTCCTCAGTGTTTCCGTTATCACCCTTTTCCCCGCGTGCCTCGCACGGAGGTGTCAAGGATTGCCTCGCGAACCATTCGACGAGTCTATCACGCACCCAGAGATCTCCCAGCGCACTCCTGTCGCTCACATTGTCACCTATACCATCGCACTCCTTTCCTCACTCGCTCCCATGAGCATCGTTTCTGGATGGGCTGGTTGGGGGTAGTAGAAGGGTCAACAATGGTGCCGCGTCGCGGTATGTCCGATGACCTTGCGGCCGTCGTGCCCGGATGCTCCGGGCGGGGCTTGCGGAGGAGGAGAAGGAGGAGGAGGAGGACATGAAGGAAATTGCAGGAGGTGGGCGAGGAGGAGCAGGAGGGGGAGGGGGACAAAGGGGGTGGGACAGCGCGGGCGAATGACGGCAATGGAAGGCCGCGCTCGGCAGCGTTAGCCGCAGCAGTGCAGAATGGGCAGTTCGGGCGAGCAAAAGCAGGAATGCCGATAAGGCGGGGAGGAAGGAGAAGAGGGCGTGGAAGAAAGAAGTGGTGATGATGGCAATGGTTGACGATGAGGATGGCGGTGGGAGGAGCACGAAACCTGATAAATGATATGGATGGTGTGCGGATGCCCTGCTCGCTCTGGTGGGGCCTCCCTGGAGGAATGGGAGGGGCGCGAAACCTGATAAATAATATGGTGTGCGGACACCCTGCCCGCTCTGGCGGGGCTTCCCTGGAGGGGTGGGGGGGCACGAAACCTGATAAATAATATGGTGTGCGGATGCCTGCCCGCTCTGGTGGGGCCTCCCTGGAGGGGTGGGAGGGGCACGAAACCTGATATAATAACTATGGTGTGGCGGATGCCCTGACCCGCTCTGGTGGGGCCTCCCTGGAGGGGTGGGGGAGAGCACGAAACACGAAAACCGATGATAAATAATATGGTGTGCGGATACCCTGCCCGCTCTGGCGGGGCCTCCCTGGAGAGGTGGGAGGGGCACGAAACCTGATACATAATATGGTGTGCGGATACCCTGCCCAGGCGGCGGAGGCAGGCGACAGCGCCGCTGCGCGCGCCACCGCGGCGGCGGGGCAGCCGCGGCCGGCCGCAGCGACGGCCTCGGCGGCGGCGGAAGCCGCGGCCGCCGCGGTGGCGCCAGCGCGCCGGCGCGCGCCACAGCCGGCGGCCAGCGGCGCCGGCACAGCCGGCCAGCGGCGCCAGCAGGCGCGGCAGCGCCGGGGGCGGCGCCAGCCCCCAGCGTCAGGAGGCGCTGAGGCCCAAGGCGGCCCAAGCCGGCATCGCCAAGGCGGCTGGCTGCAGCAGCCGCCGCCTGGCGGGCAGGCCAGGAGGCGCCGCGCGGCGCCAGTGGCGCCCGCGGCGCCCGCGGCGGCCGCAGAGCGGGGAGCGCTGGCGGCGCCAGCGGCGCCAGCACAGGCGGCGCCGGCGCGGGCGGCGACCGCGACGCGAGCCGTCCAGGCGGCCGCCCGCTGCCGCCGGCGACGCGCCGCGGCGGGCTCCATCAGCGTCGGGCGAGTCCGCACCTGGTCGGGGTCGTGCTCGAGCCCTGATCCCGGAGGGAGGAGCACCCCCGGGAAAGCTTGAGCCAGGAGGGGTTACGGACGCTGGTGGGTATTTTTTTTTTGGTCGCGGCCGCAAGCGAAGGCGCAGGCGGCGGGTCGGTAAGTCCGGGGCGCGGTCACTGGTGGGGATACTTTTTCGGTCGCGTCCACCAGCGAAGGCGCTAGCGGAGTCAGAAGCGCTCCGGGATACGGAAGCGGCCTAATTAGCTACTAGACACTGGTAGGGATATTACCTAACAGCGAAGACTGATAGGTTTCTAGTGGTGTCAAAAGAAAGCATCTGATGACTCAGAAAGGAGGTCTGGGCGGCATCCGGACAGCGAGGGCCGGGCTCAGGGCCGGGCTCGATTTAAGGAAACAGTCACACACTTCGTGCTCTTCGACCTCCCAGAACTCCATTCCCGGGCCACACTTTGAATGCCCGGAGCCAACTGTAAGCCACTTCGTGCTCTTCGACTTCCCAGAACTCCATTCCCGGGCCACATATTTTGGATGCCCGGAGCCAACTGTAGGCCACTTCGTGCTCTTCGACTTCCCAGAACTCCATTCCCGGGCCACATTTGCCACTTCGTGCTCTTGGACTTCCCAGAACTCCATTCCCGGGCCACATATTTTGGATGCCCGGAGCCAACTGTAAGCCACTTCGTGCTCCTCGACTTCCCAGAACTCCACTCCCGGGCTGCATTTTGGATGCCCGGAGCCAACTGTACGCCACTTCGTGCTCTTCCACTTCCCAGACTTCCAAGACTCATCACCTTCATCATCATCATCGTCCCCGTAGCCTTCTTGGCTACAGCCCTGCTTTCGAAGATTTCCTTTCAAAGGAACTGCGCAGCGCCTACTGCGCACCTTAATGCCAGGACATGCTGATAGTTCTCGGTCTGGCGGCGGTGCTCCTGACCCTGCTGCATTGAACAGCGGCGCTCCTCAGCCTGCGGCAAGGAACAGCGCTGCTAGTCAGCGTGCTGCATTGAGCGGTCCTCTGCAAACGCTCGTCGAGCACGTGAAGCAGTTCGACCGGATACCGAAGCGAAATAAAGGAATGTCCGAACAAGAACGGGCCGAAAACAAGTTGGCCAAACGTTTCTCGGACCATCGCGACCGCATCCCCAAAGACATTTTGCATGAACTGCGGGCCCTGGGCTGTGCTGATCAGCAGACGGAGACCGAGGAGCTCAAGCGGAAGCAGAAGACCGAGGAGCTCATGCAGCAAAAGCGAAACAAGACCGAGGAGCTCATGCAGCAAGTGCGAGACCTCGGCCGCCACCCGAAGGAGCATGCCGGGCGTAGCCTCGCAGAGCGGCAGCTGGCAGAGAAAGTCCGGAAAGCACGGAAGGCCAACCAGTTCTCCCCGGAGCAGGACGCCGAGCTCCAGGCCTTCAAGCAAGCGGAGAGCGAAGCCACAACAAAGACTCGCATCGTGGAGGCGGAGGGCCTTCCAAACCCCATGGAAGGGTTCGCTGAGGAGGCGCAGAACAGGATCGACCAGGACCTGCTGATGCTCGAGAGCGGCATCCGGACCAAGGCAATCCTGCGGCGCCTTGCC